TAGCAGGAATCGGAGCAAGGAATTGAAGCAAAGGAAATTCTGGCAAGCTGAATATCAAATAAGGGAAAATTGGGGGATTGAAGTGAGAACAAGCTGATTCAAAAGTGAAACAAAATTGGAACTCATTTGAGCTGGCGAGCTGCGGAGGCAGCTCATCTTCCAATAGAACATATTTGATAACTTTTACATATTTTAAAATTTATTGCTCACATTTGATTAGCTTTTTTTTAAAATTTGTTTGTTTAGCACATTGTTTTTTGAATATGTTTGATAAATCCATTACTTTACAATCATTAATTAAAAAAATTATGATTTTGGTCTTCAAAAATAGCAAATTTAGAAGATATTATGAGCAACAACAATGAACCATCATTGTCCTAATATTGACAATGGAAATATGTACTATTAAAGTGCGGATGAATGAGGATTAAAATTTTGCCTAATACATTTTTAAAAAGCTTGAAACCAATCAGTGAAGGCCAATTGCTCGTTATTTCTATGCCAATGTATTTTATAGTGTCTCAAGTGGGAGTGAAGACAATCCTGTCTTGTATTTTGAGAACTAACCTTCTTTTGTAAGTTGCATTACTGGCTCACAATATAATTTCTCTTTATAGTTACTATTGATTAATTGTCATTGTTAACTACTGAGAAAATTTGTGATGTAGCGTACTGAGGCCACTTGACTAGACAACCATTGCATTTTTGCATGGTCCAATGTAGTCTCAAACTAATCAACATCACCCTCACAGTCCCAATAGATTTAAGACGATATTGGTTTGGGCCTTTGTTTGAGAATGTTGATGCCAAGTATCTTGTTCAGATTTATATTTTTTAATCGTTATAATTGTTATTTATTACTACTAATATTTGCCTAGATTTCTTATAACAAGGAAAATTTAGTTATGCTTGTGAGTTTATTATATATTGGGCAATGTTTCATTTGATTTGTTTTAATTCGTCTGGCTACGAGGCCTGATGCGTAAGTGGGTCTTAGGTTATCACGTCGTAAGACAGTTCGATACCCATCCATGTCTCCATCTCTCCCTCCCGATCCCTTTCATAGGGTTTCTGAGATGGCGGGAGAGAAAGCGAAGTTCCTCTGCAGCTTCGGTGGGGATTTCGTGAGTCAGCAGGGCAAAGCGTTTTACATTGGGGGTAAGACACGCCTGGTGTCGATGGATAGGTCGGCGAGCTTTCGAACGCTGCTTGCAAAGATGTCGGAGATCTGCGACGCTCATCCAAGGTTGATTGACCTCAGATTCCAGCTTCCGGATGTTGGCCTCGACTCCCGCCTTATTTCCATCGAGAATGATGACGATGTGCGGAATATGATGGAGGAGTTCGAAGCTAATCGGAAAATCCCAATTTTTATGTTCATACATAAGACGCATAATAATGATGATGAGGAGATTGCGTTCGCCGACGATGCCATGCGGCCGCCGCAAGTTGCCGCCGCAAGGTAGGAACACCGCTCGTTAATCAAGATATATTCAAGTTGTGATGAAAGTTTATAAATTTTTTTAGTTCGACCCTAGTGTCCCTATTTTGTTCGATGATTTTCTTTGTTTGCTTTCTAGGATGGGTTTTCAGGATTTCAATCAAGCTCTCAGCTTTTTTTTTAACATTGTTAATCTGTTATTATTGTGTTTTGTATCAAGTTGTCTAAATAAATAAATTTAATACTACAAATCAGAGAAGTGGTGCTAATGGCAGCTGAAGAGCAGCAACTGGACAGCCAGAGTGGAGCTAGCAGTTGTGGAATGTCTTCAAGAGGAGATTATGCGAGAAATACATGTGGTTGGCCGAGCATGTCAGGAGAGATTTTCCGACAAGACTCGCAATCACTGTTGGTTGGTCAGGAATATGACGACGTGCAGACATTCAGGAATGCGCTGACAAGCGCAGCCATTGCTACAAATTTTGAGCTTCACATGATCCGATCAGATCAGCGCCGTGTCACCGCCAGGTGTGCTGCAGAAGGCTGCACATGGCGAGTTCACGCCTCAAAACTCCCTCGTGTAAGCATATTCCGGATAAGAACTCTGACCCCCCAGCACACCTGCATCAGATCAGAAGACACGGGACATCGACAAGCTACGGCGAAGTGGATTGCGAATTGCATTAGGGAGAAGCTCAGGAACAATTTCAACTACAGGCCGAGGGAGATCGTAAACGATATCCACCGCGAATATGGAGTTCTCATAACGTACAAAAGGGCTTTTCTTGGTCGAGAGAAGGCTCTCGAGGAGCTCCGAGCTGAACCGGGCAGGAATATGATTCCCATCGAACATAATAACTATGAGTCCCTGATTGAAAGCAGCCATTCGGATGCTGCAGCTTGGGGTGAGATTCATGATCCTCCAAGAAACAGACTGGTTTTAAGGGTTAGGGATAAGAAGGAAGTGCGAGCGCTGCACTGCACCAGGTGCAATCAAATTGGGCATAACAGGAGAACCTGTGTTGTGCAGGACCCTGGAGCCAATGTCTTCTGATTTTCTTCAGAGTTCTTATCTTGTATGAGAATTTCTAAACCATCCTTTTCTCCTTGTTGATTTAATGTTTTAAAGTTTTTTTTTTTCCTGTCATGCTATGTACATATTAAGAGACTTGTCTAGAAATTAAAGATAGGAGGAATGTAGCTTTTTGTTTGCTGTCAGATTTGTATTTCTCAGTAATGTAAATTTCAGAAGCCTTGTTGCAGCTCTCAGGAGTGTCCATGCAGTAACTTGCTCCTGCTTATTCTATAGGAATGTCTGCGAAAACTTAAACTTGTCTCAGGGATTATTTTGGTTCCTATTTTCGTAGTCTGAGGACTAAACAAATTAAATCACATATTTTAGATGTATAATAAATATGCATACGAGTTATTAAAAAAAAAAATTATATTCTTACAAAAGTATACAATTTTGTTCTAAGAAAATTTATATTTGTAATTAAATATAAATAACGTCTTTTGTATTTCTAAAATATGTGCAATAAACGTAATATGAATATTTAGTGCTCATAAGATATTGTTCAAAACATTACGGTGTACTTCTTTCATGAATAACTTCGATAATGGTGCATCAATAGCAGTGATGATAATACAACCCACTTCTGACAGAAGATGCATTTATAGGCACAAATTTCATGATAATTCCATCAAATTAGAACAATACACAAATTTTCGACAGGGATCTTTTACAAGAACATAGAACAATGAGTATTTGATAGCAGGTTGATACATGTAATTTTGAACAAAAGAAAAACCATAAAAATTTACTCATGTTTATAGGAAGAGATGATGGAGGCAATTCTCTTCAATATGTCTGATTCAGCTCCCTTTGGCTTGGGAGTGGATGCCCATTCCTGATAGTGATGAAGACTCCCTGTGAAATCTGTAAATAACCCGTCGACACCGATAACATTTATCCAGTAATCATATTCATCATAAGGGTCCTGATGAAAGTTAAAATGCAGGAATTGGTTCTCATTCCTGAATGTGTATGGATGAACCTGCAGCCACCGATTCCCTTAGTAAGTTATTTGGTCACATTAACAACTACTAACATTGACATATCTTTCAACATTCTTTGAATAATTTCAATGTTAGAATGTATGCACATCAGTTAAATTGCCTTATATCTGATAAACTCGCATCTGATTTAAATATCTTATATCTGAATGAAACATTTTGAGATTTAAATAAGACAACTTATTAGTAAAGTATCAAAATAGTCTCCTGATTGTTTACGTGCGACCTTTTTAGTCCCAGAGTTTATAAAAGTATCAAATTAGTTTCCTATACTTTAAGTTGGGGCTGAAATGATCTTCTGTTAAGATTATTTTAGCTCATATTAAAAGAATAAATTAACTCATTTATAGACTAAAGGGCCAAAATGAACCCTGCAAAGAGTCGAGAGACTATTTTGATACATCTTATATATAATAACAAGAACTGGGAGAACTTCCTCCACATATCTTTATAGTATTAAGTAATAATAATTAAAATGGAACCAAAGAGTGCCTTCAGAATGTTGGCTAGGTTGTAGTAGCAGTACCTGTAGATTATGAGCATGTGCCCTTGCAACAAGATCAGTGGCTGAAGACAAATGATTATCGTTTGGAGGAACTATAGTATCTTTCCAAGGTCCAATCCCAAGAACATAATCTTTTATATAGGCGAAGTAACTATCTGAAGTTATCTGTGCGTATGTCTGTAGCAAGAAACAATTCATTATCAATGTTTTCAAGAACATTTTTTACAATGCCCGCACTTAAGAGTTATGATATAATATGCATCTAAACTTTGAGGTGAGATATATCAATTATAAGTAAAAAAAATTAAAAAAATAAAATTAAAAAAAAAAAAACAATTGAAGACATCTGATTTTGTGGTTAAAAATACTGAAATGGCCTATCTCAATGATAATTTATAGTGTTAAGTTGACAGTTTCGATAGAGACGCACAAAAAAAAAAAAAAGGAAGAATCTCCATATGAAGCATTCTTTCTGACCACAATATTTTAACTACGATAACATAATTTTTATGTTATATGGTTGTGTATTTCGCCTTGTTCCATATCATTCATTGGTAAAAATGTAAGAAAAACATTTGCTTCCAACCAACTTCATAATTTTTATTTATGATTTTTTTTTTCAATTCAAGTAGAATTGTATGATTGTGCATATGAGCATTTCCATATATCTATATGGATTCCACATCCTTCTCTATTCATATGATTTTTTTTTCTTTTGTAACAATAACATATCTGTAATAATTTGGTGTTTTGCCGCTTCTAAATGAATTTTTACTTTATTAATTTCAAAGTTCTCCCCACCACTGAATGATGAATGAACCAGTATAGAGTCAGTTAAGTAAAAGAAATTTGTAGCAATATTCTAGTTTTGAGCAAGACTTCTAAACCTTTACAAAACAAGATAAATACTTATAAGTTTATGAGTGTGTTGGCATGCTTCTCTCTTTATATGCATCGGCATGCCCACATTTTTCTTGTATATATGCATTTATGTCTGCATTGAACATTTTTTGTCATTTTCATATAAGTTTCTAAAAATACCAAGTTGATAGCAAAGTTTAACAAAACGAAAATAAAAAAAAGCAAAGCCATATTATGAGAGTTCTAACTAGCCCGATGAAATTAAATGAGTTTTAAAAACCAATATATACAAGTACTTCAAAAAATACATATTGCAGGGTATTGCTTCCAAAAGTTCCTATTAACTCTTGTTAAGACCAAGGCTAACCTGGTTAGTATCCTGAGTTGGGATGTCGACATCATCAATCAACAATATTTTTGGAGAATCAGTCATGTTTGAAATATAAATAAGGGAAGCCGGGGCAAAAGACTGTATGAACACTGGTTGTTCTTGCCATTCCTTTGATTTGTAGGAACCTTTATAACCATACTTAAGAAGCGTCTCCACAAATTTATCTTCAAACTTTTTTCCATCCGCCCATTTGACCTGACAAAAGTAGTGAAACCATTTAGTGGAAGCAGCAAACCATTCAATAAAACAAAACGAGATATAAAAGTGAAACGATAGCAGCAAAAGAACAGATAAGCACTGCCTTCTGAACCACAATAAATGATTTTATGATGCTTGTTTAATCAAATTCTTTCTCAAGGCAGCAACACTCACATGCTGATTGATGAAAATTGGATTCTTAATTTCTGGATATATTCCCACAATCCTGTTAGCATCTAGAGCAATTGCAATAAACTCCTCAAATGTGATAATTGAAAACTTCCCTGCAAAATAAATTAATAATATGTTATACTAGTCACTTGAGTGGCTGTTTACAAAAAAACAATGTCAAAATTGCAAAACACAATCAAGTTGAGCTTGGAACTAACCATTGTACTGTTGATCTCTAAACTTATAGCGCTGCTTCAGCGTTAATGATTTAAGTTCATCAAGTGTGAAGTCCACTGCAACAACCAAAAAATTAATGTTAAATTACACCATTGTTAATTTATTTTGAGAAAAGAAAGAGTTGTTCATTTTGGCCCTTTAAACATGGCCGACATATGTATGACTTCATAGAGATGCATTAGCAAGATGCAGACCATTATATGGTATAAACTGATTAACTAAAATTGTAACTATGAGTCGAAGTAGCAATTGAAACATTAACATACACTAATACAGTTTATAATTTACATTGATTCCTCAAATTCTTACAGAAAATGTGGTCACGGTTGTGGAAAACTGTTAGCCGGAAAGCATATTCTATTTACAATCATACAAATAGAGTATTGGTTTACTGCCTGAAACATTGAAAAATAAAAAGTATAAGCCTGGTGTTTGCCTCCTAGATTTAACATGAACTGTTATGTTCTAATCTATGCCGCACTCAATGAATCTTTTACTGTTTCTTTCCTAGGTAACATCAAATTCATATAATATGACCATTCTTATTGCCATTTTAGAAAAATTAAACTTTAAATTTTGATGGTATATTTCTTTCTTATATCATATGATGTCCAGAATCTACTTGTCCATTTTAAGTCAGTTGAATTGCATGCCTCAGGTAATAGGTTTCTCACGGAAGATATAAGAATATTAGAATAAGATAAGGAAGAAAATCAATCTCAAATGATAAGAAACTACAATATGGTGCGGGCAAATCATACCTACGAAATATCCAGTAATATTTTCACCTTGGACCTCATAGGTAGCTTTGCGACCGGCAAACTCCTTATGATCAGCAATATCAGTGATATCATCAAGATTTACATCATGAAAACAAATTAGTGCACCATCCTTAGTAGCAAGGATATCAGTTTCTATAAAGTCTGCACCTTCTTCAATAGCTCTCTGCATGAAACAAATAAGATGTTTTAGTAAAGAAACATAAATAAAATACACATTCATTTAAAGATACAATAGTTGAATTAACAATTTTTCAGAGAGACCAACAGGGTTAGCTTCGTGGGTAGTTTACCATATAAGCATCCACCGTTTCTTCAGGAATTTCGCCATTTGATCCTCGATGAGCTATATTGTATGGTCGAAAAGACTGTATGGGTTCTTTGTGTCTGTTCTGTAATTTGCTTGGGAGTTCATAGAACGGCCTCCCGATTGCCTCATCAAATAAGGAAAGAAAAAGAAATGGAATGAACCCTGTTCATAAGAAGAAGAGCCATAAACTAATCTCAATCAGTCAAATAATGACAAAATTGAAGATTTTGGAGTGTATCACCGACAGTCGGGAATAATTTTTTTTTTAGATTTAAAATGATGTGATTAAAATCAATAATGTGATCTTATATATAAATAAATAAGCAGGAGAGGCCTTCTCCATCCATTCAAGAATCTCCCAAATGATTAAGCAAGGGGGACGAGCAGGCAGAAGAACTCCCGACAAAAGAACCTCCGGCCAAGAACGGAAGATGAATCCAATCTCTCGAAGAATGAAAAAGAAAGAGTTGCAGAAGGAAGCAAGAAATTAGGGATCAAAGATAGCTTACAGAGTGACATCATGTTCTCTTATCCCCACCCTCCCTCCTTCCGGAAGCTGATGGCGCTACAAATTAACCTCCGTAGCTTCCTTATTTATATACTCCTAAATAAATATGAGCCGGGTAAAATTATATATTACTAATTCATTTTTTTTATTTATAATAATTTTTAGATATTATAAAGAATTCCTTTTTATAATATTTAAAAGAAATATACATTAATTGAGAAGCTGCAAACATAAATTTCAAAAGAAAATGGAGCCCTTACAGCAGTGGAATGTTGGAGATACTATTATAATTATTATTAACTATTTTCAAAATAATAATTTGAAAGAATATATAGCATGTTAATGTTGGTAAACTCATCGGTCAATACAATACCGAATTAAAAATTAAATAATTGGAAGGAATAATCTCGGAATCTCCTTCCTCCTTGCTTTCAGATGAGTACGCAGTACGTAAAATGAATGAAGGTGGAGAGTCCATGGATTTCCCGATGACTTCCTCTATTAAGATTTAGACACGAATCTTAATGCATTTTTTTTAAATTTTTTAAATTAAATTTAAATTAAATTTAAGATCTATCAAAATTATGGTTTCATCAAATTTATACTAGGACTTGTATTAAATTTTTTAATAAGTTTCTGTTTATCAAAAAATTGTTGCGGGGAAGCTGTGTTTCTATTTATTTTGTGCAGTTGTGCAACAACTGCTGCATTTGTTTATGAAAAAAAAAAAAAATTGCCCCTGTGCTATTGTGATATTTATAATAAAATCAGTCATGATTGTACAGTTAATGCATGAAAACATATATTCAGTTTTAATATTACATAATAAAAATTCACACATCACTAAAGAGTGAGTAACACAACAATTAAAATTAAAAATAAAACTATTTAAAAGATAATTGAAATTATCATAATGTTGAATTTAAGATACAGAAGATTAATTTCAATAGATAATTACTTCTCTAACAAAACTCTTCACATCTTATGATTATTTTTAAGCTTTCTTTGCTTAAAAAAATTATTTATTGGCATTATTTTATGCATTGCTTTGTATTTTATGACGATATATAGAGTTAGCAATTAATAATTAGAATGTTGATTCTAGGAAACACTACTCCACTACTTATATTCATATAAACAAGTTTAGGAATTTATTTACTTTGCTTCTCTTCGTGAAATCCCTCTACAACTTAAAGAATATAGATTTATGATGATTTTATTATTGAAGTAATAAAAATACCATTTAAATAAATATTTGGTATTTCCCATATTTAAAACTCAAAAAGAATTAAAGTCTTACTGATTAATGAGGCTAGAATTTAAGTTTTAAAAGAGGATACCACGTCGACTGTGAACAGCTGTAGCTCCGAAAATCCAATCAATCCTTGACTCTTGAGTCAACCTACCTTTTTTTTTTTAATGATTTTTATTTAACGCCTAAATCCATCGGCTATTTTAAGTAAGCTGTATTAATTATTTAGTAATTTATAAACATTTATAATTTAAATCTAAATATCAAATAATATATCTTTTTTTTTTCTTTAAGACTAAATTATTAAATAAGCTTTTCCTTTTAGCGTGAAGCCTTGTGAAGAAGACTTCCAGAAATCTCCTGGTTTGAAATTAAAGAAAATTACGTCAGATACCTTTTATTTTTATTTTTATTTTTTTCGGTTCTTATCAGAAAGAATATACGAAAATAAATAGACATGATGTGTATTACAAAATTTGAGATAATAGAGGAATATATTATCGTCTTAATATTACACGAGAATTCATCACATACTCATTTAAAAAAATAACCGGTAATGACATTAAAAGTTTTTATGTGGAAAACCCTTAAAGAAAAAAAATCACAGGATCTAGCGTAGATGTGAAAATCCACTATAAGTTATGATTACAGAGACTCATTGTCTCATAGATGAAAAAGGGTTATTGGGTTTATGTTGAGAAATTTAGGGCAAAGAAACGAGAATCGACATAAATTTGAAAGAAAACACAGAGATTTAACGAGGTTCCGCTCCACTCCTCTCGCTCGCTTCGCTACGTCATTCCGCTCCAACATCTATCCCTTATTTAGTATATGAGACATACCTAACAGTCTCCCAAGTTACAACGTAGATTGGTAGTTTCCTGTCGGTTGTGGTCGACTGTGATTTGTGGTGATTGACGGTGGTTAACGGTCGACGACGGTAGGTGATGGTTGAAAACAACAGTGGTGCTCGATGGAGGTCCGTGGTTGTCTATGGCTATCGGCAATGGTCAATGATGTTAGCAGGGATCAACAGCATCCACGGTTGTCAGCAGTTGTCGGCGGTGGTCAACCGCGGCCGACGACGATAGATGATGACAGGGGTGGTACTGGACTTCAACTTCTCAAAACTTTAAGTTCTTTCTTAAGCCTTCAACCCATCTTAGGAAAGAGGTGGGACTCTATTTATAGTGTTCAGGGTGCAATTAATGTAAGAATATAACCAACTTTGATTAGACGGTCAAAAGATCTTCTTTCGATCAAGTGACGTTTGATGTCATTTGAGTGTATTAACAATATTAGAATTGAACAATATTGGGCTAGTTGGATTCGTCTTGTTGAGATGCTCGATTCAACTATACGCTTGTTAGATTTGACATTCGTTTAACGTTCTAAACATGTTTGAAAAACTTTCAAAGTGGTTTAATGATTTGATCTAAGCTTAATTTGACTCGACTTGAATTATTTTTGTTACATTGGGTTTTTTTTGTCGAGCCGGTTAGTTTGATGAAATCAGAGTTGTGGATGATTTTTTATCGATGTTTGAATATTTCTTGCTAAAAAAAATCATCTCAAGATCTACATCTTGCTTCGAAATTAATGTTAAATGATAAAAATTTGCTAGATGTATCGAGTGAAAAATAATTGAGTAAAGATATAAAAAGATCATTTTTTGTTGGGTTGAAAAAATAAGCACGAATGAGATGCCATCACATAAAAATAATCATTCGATAGCCGTGTATTTTTATTTTCAACATTTAATTTAAATTTCTAATTTACAAAATTCATCAAAAATATATATACACAGCCTTACTTTAAAAAAAAAATAATAGAATTATGGGCGTGAGAGGCACGGCCACGTGCTTCCGCCGGGCAACTTGGTACCCCCTCTAACTTTGACTTTTCCGACCACAGCTTTGCCATGGAATAAATATGACTAACCATTTTCAACAAAGAAAAATAATTTTATTGAGCTGCATTTTGTGAAGAAGGTGTTGGTTCGATGAAGGTTCCAAACATGATTCAAATTAAAGTTCAATTTTAAATCACATCAAATACTTTGGAAAAGTAAATAATATGCATATTATGAATATAGAAGTACCGAAATTACAAAAGCTTGTGGAGAGAGATTCAATTATTGTTGAATCAAAATAATAGAAATAGCAATCAGCTAAATAAAAACTTTGTGCAACTGAGAACATGTCCACAATCTGGATGCTGTTAATTTCCAAACATTTGTACGGGGCAACGTAAGAGTAAACATTCCATAAACATCAAAATCATCCGAATAAAGCAAATATATGTAATAAAATTGAGAAGATTTGCATGCATACCACTCAATTCTCCTCTATTTACATATCTAACGTCAAAACTTTAATTTATATATATATATATATATAGGCCATCTTATTTTATGTAAGAAAGTATGTATTCCACCTTTTTAAAGTAAAATTATGATAAAAATAAAATGTACTCTTATTTTTGTTGTGTGTCTGAAAATTTGTAGTAGCAGAGTGATATTTAATATCTAGAGTCGAACGAAGGTCGGGGACATACACAAATAAATGAAGGGGTGATTACAAGCATTTGCATTCAAGGAGGGATCATCTGTGATAGAAGCTTAAAGAGGACAAGCAAGGACGCTCGACGGTGGGGTAATGCATTATGATTTTTTGGAAAATAACTTCCCAAAATATCTAATCGGGCGACCCACCCTTATTCATAAAGAATTTCTTAATGATTTGGGTGCAATGACCTCAGAATTTAGTAATTTTAGGCCCGTTGGATTTCTTTCATCACGTTTCTTGATTTGATTATAAATATGTCAAATTTAGAGTTCATTTGACCACTCAATTAGCAATCCAAAGCCTCTAAATGTGTTTCAATGGTTTGATATAAGTTTGATTAGACTTGGATTGACCAACTTTGATATCATTGGGTTCATCTTGTCGAGATGTTCATTTTAATTATAAACTATTAAAATTGGAGTTTGTGTGATATTAAATTTGACTTTTGAAGATCATTTATAAAAAAAATACTATTAGATTCGTGCACGATGCATCAATTATTATTATTATTTTATTATACAATCCAAATGCAATCGGAAGATATACAATTAAGAGCATAAACAATGCATGCAAGCAAGACAGAGGTGCATATGAGTTTTTCTTTTGAACAGTGTGTGGGTGCTCATACTCAACATCTTAGAATTCTTTATTTTGTTTTCAATCACTGTGTTATGCATTTCGGCACTTTGTCCGAATTTAAGAATAAAATAAAATAAATAAAATGCACAAAGTATGGAAAATAAATATATGAAATTCCGAATAAAAAATAGAGTGCAAAGGGTTGCAGTTTAGAAAATAAAATGTAATACATTACAAATTATTTCCACCAAAAAAATCTTATTCGTTTATTATTTAACAAATAAATAAATAAATAAAATACAGCAGCTAGAATAATATAATTATTTACTTAATTATGGAACACACTCTCTTTAAATCAATTCTAATTCTAATTTAACTCAACATGCTAAATTTTAAATCATATTATTATAATAGTTTCATACATAGGGTTTATGAGAGTTATGGTGAGAAGGGCAGAATGTTTAACCCCAAGCCGTTTTTCTTTCTCCCCATCCCGTGTTAGTGAAATCTTGCTCCTCATGGATTTAGGCAAATTAATTCAATATTGAATCATATAAATCATTTGTGTTTGATTGTTGTTGTGTGAATTTTTTTTTGTTTTAGAATTGTTTTCGCATAACAATTAGTATCAGAGTTTCAGGTTCGTGATCGGAGCATAGTTCAGCTTCGATAATAACAAATATGGCATGTGTTGCTAGTGTTTTTTGCAATAGGTGGTCTAACGTGCTTTGTCGACATATTCAGAGATTTGATGACAAACCAACGCAGGTCGTGGCTTGGACGGGAAGATCCGAAAAGCTGGCAGGCGCAGCTCGAGGAGGAAATCCATTGAACTCTATTTTGATTGCAGGTTTGGTGACATACCAATGGTTGTTCCGCCGACAGACAGTTGGTGGTTCAAGTGGCTGGCGAGGTTCAAAGAAATAATGCAGCAGGCTTCGCGTGAAACAAACATAGGTGAAATATCACATGGAACAAAAGGAAAAAAAAAGGGGAAAGTTCTTTAAAACGAGGGAAAAAGAAAAAAAAAGGAATTTCAGAAACAACAAAAAAGGAAAAATGATATTGAGGTTGAGACTCTTGCTCAGGAATCTATTGCTCGGAGCTGGACCAAGCATTAGAATGCCCCAAAATTTGCTTGGTTGAGTGATCACTTTGCATTTGCACTTTCAGACAAAGGGGGCAAATATTCCTTGTCACTACAAAAAATGGTAGAGAGCTTAGATAGTGATTTTTGGAGAGTGGCAATGAATGAAGAGATCTAGTCTCTTCGGAATAATGGTACTTGGAGGTTAATGAAGCTTCCTTTGGAAAGGAAAGTCATCGGGTGCAAATGAGCATATGCAAAGTAGAAAGGATCTCATGGAGTTGGTGTGCAATGTATAACAAGATTAATAGTAAAAGACTTAGTGCAACAAGAAGGGATTGATTATGAAGAGGTGTTTCCCCTAGTGCTTAAGCATCCCTCAATCTGTATTCTCTTGGCATATGTAGCACAATAAAGTCTGATATTGAAACATCTCGATGTGATGACTGCATTCTACACTAGGAATTATAAGAGGAGATCAAATGTTGTTGCCGCATGGATACGGAGCATCACAAGAATTGATTTGCAAAATGAACAATACTTTGTAAGGGTTGAAGTAGTCACCACAGGAGAGGTATAAGAAACTTTATCAATTTATGATGATACAGGAGTACATGACGAGCTAATATGATCGTTGTATATATTTCAAGAAGTTGGTCAACGATGAGCTCATTTACTTGCTTCTTTATGTTGATGATATATTGATTTCATCCACTAGTCAGATCAATGTTGATATGACGAAGAATTAACTGTCTAAACAGTTTAAAATAAATTGTTAGGTGAAGCTCACAGAATTCTTAGCATGGAGATTCTCAAGAATAAGAAAGATGGAAATGTTTGGCTTTCACAAGAGGCTTATGTTTGAAATGCACTGAAGAATTTAGGGTTGATGACTTGAGCAAGGTGGTGAGTCTTTCCGTTACGTCTCACTTTTAGTTGAGTTCAAATCCATGTCCTAAAGATGATCATGAAAACAAAGATATATGATAATTTTCTTCTGTTAATGCAGTGGGCAATATGACGTATGTCATTGTTTGTACTAGACCAAAGATTGCACAACTAGTTGGTGTTGTAAGCAGATTCATGCATGATCCAAGAAGGAAACATTGACAGGCTGTGAAGAGTACTTTGAGGTATCTAAATGGTACAGTTGATATTGACTTGGTGTTTGAGAGTCAATTATCTATTACTAATTTTTGTAAATGCTATACTGACTCCGACCCTGCAGGTGATATGGGTGACTGACTGGCTATTTATTCAAATTGACAGAAGGTTCAGTCAAATGAAAGTTTGTTCTTCCATCTATTATTACTTTGTCTACTACAAAGACTGAGTAAATCAATCTCGGAGATGATGAAGGAAGGATATGGATGCATGGCCTATTGGATGAGTTGGGAGTTGATCAGAAGTCTCTGACGATGTTCTGTAACAATTAGAATGCAATTTTTTTTTATTACAAATTCAATTCATCATATTTGCACCAAGGAAATTGATGTGATGTATCACTTTGTTCAGGACTTGATTGATGACAACAATTTTATGTTGAAAAACACAAATATGAAGAAGAATGCAACTGATGTTTTCGTGAAGGTACTACCGATCCCAAAGTTAACCTATTGTAAGAGTTTGGTGAGTCTGAGCTTAAAACTCATTGCTCAATCGGGCATTTTGAAGAAATACATGAGACTTGATCCCTTCGGGAGGGGGTTACATAGGCAAGCATCTTGGTGTATATGAATTAGAATTTGTAGCTTATTTGGTCATATCACTTATGTGGAAGTAAGAGATTAGGTGGAGATTATTGCATTTATGACTTTTTTGTAATTAGTGGTAACTTGGTCGTTTCATTTTATTTACTTGCATGCTCTAATCTTCCTTTATAAAAGGGACATAAAATTCATGACAAAGTTGTGGTGAGAAGTACAAAAGTTGTAACCCAAATCCGTTTTTCTTTCTCCCCATCTTGTTCTAGTAGAATCTCCCTCTCCCATGGACGTAGACAAATCAATGCAATGTCGAACCACGTAAATCATTTGTGTTTGATTGTTGTTGTGTGAACTTCTTCATTTTTCATATGAATAGATTATGGTCAGTTCTCGACCCCTGATGAAAAATCTCAAGGGCGTCAGTGAAATAGTTGGTGACGTTGAATTCTTCTCTTGAGTCAGGTTGTGGCGAGAGATAAGTAGATGTTTCTGTTCAACTTGGTGGATCTTGGTCTTTAATTCTAATAACTTGTATCTGATCGGTCTCTGACCTTGATTCACAAGGAGGTTGCACCTAGTCAAGTGTGTCCTTTGGTCTTTCGTTAGTTGGCTCTTCGATCTTCCGACAGTGGGCTCTTGTTAGCCATACTTTTTTTTTGTCTATTGGTCTGTTAGATTTCCTTGAGAGCCATGTTAACGCGTTTACGATTATTATTATTATTATTATTATTGGGTGTTGGAAAATAACTTTACATGTATCAATCTGATATTTATAGATTTTTTAAAATTATAGAAATTCAAGCTGTTATTAGATTTTATAGCTTATTCAAAGTCTACCTTCTCCGTTTTTTTTATTTATTTATATATCACTTAGATTTATCCCACAGCCACATTACAATTTCTTTACAGCTTTCAATAGCTTTCTTTTCTTTGAAATTAAAGCCAATTTATAGACTAATCTTCCCTTTTTTTTAGCCTCTAGATTGTATGGTCAAATAATCTTATACATTTTTTTTTATATTTATAAATGAATAAAAAAAAAGAATTTTTAGCAAATAGAAAATGCAGGGTAAAAAGTTAATGCATGGGCCGGAGTTTAGAAACTTTTATAATTTATGTCTTCCGATAAGGATTGCTTAAGATATTGATAAAGTTAACACTTGACATAACTCGATATCATGTTATCATTATTGTTAGACACAAGAGCAGGATCACTATATATATATATATATATATATATATATATAATACAAACATCTCGAATTAGTAGTGTTTTCTACTCCCTTAAAACATAAAAAAAAATTAAAATGATTGCATCATGCAATCAAAATAAAAAATAGTCTTGCAAAACATAACTTGCAGTCGTCATCACATGGGAATTGAAATTGGTAAATAAACAATTATTTAAAAAAAAAAAAACTAACAATTAAAAAAATTAATGCAAGCAAATAAAGCCATGATTGCTTAAATAACCATATTATCTACCAAATACAATCATATATTTGACCCAATATCATCTTCTTCCAATAATTTAGAAGCATGTAAAGACATCATTTAAACAATACATTGGCATGCAACTAATCATAGATTTAAAATGTAACTTCATAAATTCCTTCTCTTCATTGGATTTTACATTATAAAATTATATTAAAAATAAAGAAGCAATCTCATGGCAGACATTGAAAGAAAGAAACTCAAGTAAACAATACTCCTTACATGGAAGTAGAGATGCTGCTGCTCTTGTCATGCTTCTGCTATATGTAGCTTTTTGACTCAGCAGAAGATCAAATGATATGCCAATTTGAAGACAAACCAGATCCGCATTTCCGAAAACACAAACATACCCATTCTTGAGGCGACTCGAATACACCATTTTAGCTCGAGGAAATAAGTCCAGCCGACGTTCTTCACCTTGAATTACGAATGTTATCAGTCCAGACAGCCATTAGTAATAAGGAGGTTGTGAGGTAGAAGGGTTGACCACAATATGTCTGAGAGGATGGTCAACATCTCCACCTCCTGCATGCTTAATGAACTCTGCTGGAGTAAGGAAGCTGCCATGACAAACACAGACAATGCTCACATCTTCTCCCTTCTTGTATCTGTAGAGGAAACCTTCAATCTTTTTACCACTGGGACCATCTCCTCTTGTTGAAACACAAGGCATTTCTTCCATGATGTTGGATTTCATATCTTTCGAGACATGATTCATCATCCTCTTCATGGCTTCATCGTTTTCTCCCAAAGATCTGAGAGTTCTCAAGGCTGAAGCTGGAGGTGGTGTTCTTGCTGCTCTCTGAATGGTGTCAGGTGTTGATGGCGAGCTTGAAACTACCGAGCTGTTGTTGTTGTTGTTCAAAGCTGGGATTTCAGGCACTGGATGACGAATGAATTTGTAACTTTTATGAATAAAGAGAGAGCCAACAATTTGATAATTGAATGATGCTTTTTACAACTATATCAATGGAAAATTCATTAATAATGCAACTAATCAGGGTGTCTGATCCCAGAAGTTCAGAGAGTGATGACAGATCTCGAGTTGTGAACTGGAAATCCATGGCAACTCTTATTCGGATGAACAGCAGAAGACTGAGTTTTATTTAACAATGACCTAGATTTACAAACTATGAAGTCGTTATTTGTGAGCATTCTGTGCCATTAGAGATTGTGATGAGAAAGCTAGATACCTCAAAATCACCTGTTTTTCTTAAATATCAATAACAGAGTTCAGATCCAGCTCAAATCAAGGAGCTTGGTTGCAAGATTTAGCTTTTTGAGCTCCATAAATTTTACTAAATGATAAATTCTTCTTACTTTAGATACTAAATCTAGATTTAACATCTATCATGTCAGAAAGTTTATAGGAACTAGCCATTCAAGGGATCACTAAATCTGGATTTACAAGATTTATTAAATCCCATTCGTAACCACAAATCCCCCAAGAACAACAGGATTCTGCAACTTTGATGAAGCAGCAGAAGAGATGAGCCAAAACAAGCAGCAAGAATTGCATTGCCGATTTAGAAGAAAAGAAGAAGAAAACCGGCACGAACTAATTACCTCGCAGAAAGAAAGTAGACAAGAAAAGGAAAACCAAATCAAGAAACAAATTAAAGTAGAGCAGGAACTGCTCCTCCGTGAACCCCCGGAACTTTCTATCCCCTAAAACCCAAAAGAACTGGAGAAAGAAAGCAGGAACATTAAGAAAAATTCAAATCCAATTCTCAAATTAAGAAAAATTAAAAAGATCGTCTTTTTATTTAATCTAATCAGTTAAAAGCTCGCCATAACATGACAAGAAAAGCTCAATACCTCGCGATCCCCAAGAATCAAAGTTCAAGCTGCTTCGACGCATCCCAGTCAGCGTAGTCGGCGAAACCAGAGGCCGGCAGCCGCTGGGTCTGGGCGGAACACCCACGCACAGATCAGCATCAACAGCAGGCCTTGAAATGTTTTTCTTTTCCTCCCGCTTCCTCTTTGCCTCTAGTCTTTTCAAGCTCTGCAACTCCTTTCTCTTCCGA